AGAGAGAGAGAGAGAGAGAGAGAGAGAGAGAGAGAGAGAGAGAGGCAGTGTTTTGAAAGTTGAAAAAAGTGTCTCAAAATTATAAAGTGTCCTACAGTGTAATACAAGTTTGATAAAGTGACACAAATATAATTTTTCGTTAAAAAACCTTCAACAATACACAGTCCTTTGATGAGTATAAAGTGTCATGGAATGTAATTTATTAATAGTTTTAAGGAAAGCATGCGAAACAATAAATATTTGATATATGCGACCAACTATAGCCTACGAAATATTATATTTCTAGAGAATATAATTTTTAAACTATACATTATATCACATGCTCTAGAATCCTTGAGATTTGAAATGGAAGTCGAAGAGCTATGTCACGTAGGATTGGAGTTATTTTTAATTCTTACAAACTTAAGATTACAACTTTTTAAATGATTCTCAAATAATATATAGGGGATTTATCAAAAACTAAACGGCTTTTGAAATTTATAATTCTTGAGCCAATCCTAATTTTAAACCCAAAAACAATACTTCAAAGAAATAATCCGTACATGAGAATTATTTCGTTGGAATAACCCCAATCCTACGTGGCATAGCTATTAGTTGTACAAAATAGTAGGCATTATTCTGTATTACTTGTACAGAATAATGCTACTATTTTAGTTGTACAATCGAGACCTTAGTTTCTCTCGAGTCTATTTATTATTTTAATGGGCCTAAGCCCATATATTTTACTTGCTGGCATTTACGAATCGAAGGGCACCGCCGTAAGAGTATCGGGAGGAAGGAAACAGATTGGAGGAGAGAGGTTGAAGATGAGCAAAACATAGAGAGAGAGAGAGAGAGAGAGAGAGAGAGAGAGAGAGAGAGAGAGATCAAGAAAGAAGGAAGACTGGTTCACGATGAGCGAAGGCTCTAGCGGAGAAGTGAATAGGACCGTAATGGAAGAGAAATCGGAACAGAGAGGAGGAGGATCTCTGGCGAAAGGAAGATCGTGCAAAGGATACCTATACTACTCATCCACTCTCAAATCAAAGGATAAGAATCCTCGCTGCGTCGGAATCCCTCGTACTCTCCGCCAAGGTCAAATTCTCTGTGAAATTGCTGATTCTGCTATTCTAGGGCTCCTGAATCCGCCTAATTTTTTCGTGATTGATTAGATTCTCTCATTGCAATTAGTTCTCCGAATTGAAAAATGGTTTTGAGAGATTATCTGGTTGTAGAATCTATAATCCATAAGTAAATCAAAATCATAATATATGGTTTTGCTTTTTGTTTCTCTTTTTTTCTGCATTGTTTCCGTGGATGCTATCTGCCTACCGTAATTAAAGTTTATATTATTAATTTTTTGTTGCAGTTCCTGATTACGTTGTTGGACAATCTGAAGCTGAAGCTTCTAAAGAAGGGCGTACCTTAACAGATTTTTACTATGGATGTTTGGGTTATTCCGTTTACATGACTGATAAAGATTCATCGACTGCCATGAAGCAACACACCAAGACTCAGCTTCCTGTTTGTCTCGGCCTTGAGGTTTGACAACACTCACTCACTTTTTTTTTCTTGGAACTATGAAAGTTATACATTAGGCTATGCTGTGCTGGAGTTACATTTTACTGTCACTATATTATTATGCGCTCTGGACAATCTAGTTGCTATCCATTCTCCTTTGTTGGAGTTACATCTACATCTTGCTGTCATTTTGCTACTATGTGCTCTGGACTTGTTTTTTTTTGGTGTGTGTATTATATCTTTTAAGAAGCTATCAACTTCTGAAAATACTGGATGTATAATATATAATTTCCATCATTGTCACCGGCACGAAAGAGGAATTCAATCCCTGTTATCTACCTCAATCTTTCTAATGTTTGTGCAGATACTAGCAGATAGAAGAGCCGCTTCTAGCAACACTTCATCTGTTCCTACCCGTGTTCAAAATAGAAATGGTACACCTAATCCGCTCTTATTCACCAGTTTATAACATGCTGAGATGTCGTGCATACTCATCATTTTTTGTTGTATACTGTAGATTCTCGGGAGTTGCCTCAGCACCAGAACCATAGACCAACTTCAACCCCAATCCCAAAGACAACCCCAGCCACTGCCACAAACACTGAAAACGGCTTCATAACGAGGTAAGATGGTGACAACTTGTAAGATTTGACTTGTTGTGGCTTAATGGGCGATGGTATATGACCAAACTTTATTGTCATGCTTACTAGAGACCTCAAAGTATACGAATCAGGTGTTATATCACCATAAAAAACCATGTCTAAAACAATACTAATTAACTTTTTTTTTTACCTGGGTTGTGGTATGTATGCAGGTTCACAAGAAACGCAAATCTGGTAGCATCAGGGGTGATGAAGAACCTGAAGAGAGTGGGTAATTATGTCAAAGAGCATTTGGACGACTCTTTGGACGATCATCGAAAGCGACCAAAATAAATAAATCTATGTTTGCATCAAAATGTGGTGAGAAACCAAAAAAAAAAAAACACAGGTGACAGAGCCAACAAGATATGAATGATTTGACACTTTTTGGAAACTCCTTTTGGATTCTCATAATAAAAAAGCAACAGAAAAGAAGAAGTTTATATTGATAATAGAGTGATTTACATTATGAATCAGTTTTTGACTTTTTACTACACAAAATATTAGTTTGTGCTACTTAGGTAGTTTTTGGTGGTTAAAAACATAATTAACCCCTGATAAGGTGTAACTATATTCTATTTTTTATTTCCTTTATATATCTAGTTACTTTTTTTTTGTTATTTGGGGGTGATTTTTTTTGTTTGTTTCTTTTTTTAATTATTTTTTGTGGGTTAGCTTTCTATGTATGGTTCATTTTAAGGGAAAATTGCATTTTAAATACTCAAGTTGGCAAAAGTTTGCACTTTAAACCTTGATGTTCAACATCTAACACTTTAAACAATGAAAGTAATTTCAATAACATATTAAACATTGAAACTAACTAACTTGTTCGCCACGTCGAAATTGTGACCGGTACTGTACATTACCAGGTCAAAATGATGACGTGTCAGTCACTTTTTTCTAAAAAAAAAATTTTAATTCATAAATCAATAAAATGATTAAAATAAATAAAAATAGTTAAAAGTAAATATAAAATAAATAAAATTACCTTTAAAAAATTACTAAAAAGTTTAAAACTTACAAAAATTATTTTTAAAAATACAAAATGTTTCTTAAAAATAAAATAATAATTTAAAATAAATTCAAAAATTAAAATAAATTAAGAGAGTTATAAAATATATAATTTTCATATACTTCAGTTTTCAAAGTTTAAAGTATTTAAAATTCTGTTAAAAAGATAATTTTATTAAAATTTGAAGATAATTTTTTCAGTTTTATTTTTTAAAGGTAGTTTTATCCAATTTATCTTAAAAATAAAAATTAGTAAAAATTTTAGAACTCATTAAGATGGTCTCTGGCATACAAATTTAGACCATATTAATGAGTTTAAAATTTTTACTAATTTTTATTTTTAAGATAAATTGGATAAATTTATCTTTAAAAAATAAAAATGAACAAAAAAATCTTCAGAACAGTTTCTTTTTATTGAATATAATTTAACATTCATTAAAAGTAATAATAAAAACACACTACATTTATTAAAATTTGAAGATATTTTTCATTTTTATTTTTTAAAGATAAATTTATCCAATTTATCTTAAAAATAAAAATTAGTAAAATTTTTAAAACTCATTAAGATGGTATAAAATTTGTATGCCAGAGACCATATTAATGAGTTCTAAAAATTTTACTAATTTTTATTTTTAAGATAAATTGGATAAAACTATCTTTAAAAAATAAAACTGAAAAAAGTATCTTCAATTTTTAATAAAATTATCTTTTTAAGAGAATTTTAAATATTTTAAATTTTGAAAACTGAAGTATATGAAAATTATATATTTTATAACTTTCTTAATTTTGGGATTTATTTTAATTTTTGAATTTATTTTAAATTATTATTTTATTTTTAAGAAACATTTTGTATTTTTAAAATAATTTTTGTAAGTTTTAAATTTTTTTAGTAATTTTTTATTTTTTAAGATAATTTTATTTATTTTATATTTACTTTTAACTATTTTTATTTATTTTAATCATTTTTATTGATTTATTAATTAAAATATATATTTTTTTAAAAAAAAGTGAGTGCCACGTCATCATTTTGACCTGATAGTGTACAGTACCGGTCACAATTTTGACGTGGCGAACAAGTTAGTTAGTTTCAATGTTTAATATGTTATTGAAATTACTTTCATTGTTTAAAGTGTTAGATGTTGAACATCAAGGTTTAAAGTGCAAACTTTTGCCAACTTGAGTATTTTAAATGCAATTTTCCCTTTTCTTTTCTAGCAAAATCAATTATCATCGTCATCCATTTGCTCCTAGGTTGTTTTTCTACCAACAAGACCGGAACATCATAACTTCGTCGCCGCAGTTAGTTTAGTATATTAAGCCACAAACTCAGTTCAACAAAACATCTATGTTATGGTGATATGAGTCTAAGATCAATTGTTATATCAAGGATCTATCATATTTAAATGGAATTATAAATAAACGAGGTTAAATCGAAATAACTTGTCCAAAGATGATGATCTATGTCTGAAAACAAAAATGAGCTGAAAACCAGGTTTGCAGAAAGAGAAGTGTTGGTGAAAAAGAATATATGTAAAGTTACAATACCGTCTTTCACTTTAAAAATAATAAAAAAATAGAAAACTTGCATTAAAAAATAGAAAACTAGTATAAATTAATAATTTCTATGTATACATATTTTTATATAAGTAAGAAGTTATTATTATTATTTTTTTTATATTCACAATGGAATTTCTTTATATTTTCTTGACACTAAAATAATATAATATAATTAATATAAATTTAAAATTTCAAAAAAATAATAATTAATGTCTATACATTGAAAACAAATATTTTTCTTATCTTATAATAAATATATCTTGTTTTCCAAAAAAAAAGAAAGAATAAATATATCTTAAAATTAAAAAAAATTCTAAATAAGGAACGTTTTGTAAATTAATATCTCTATAAATTAATAAAATTTCAAAAGTCCTAACATTATTAATTTATAGAGGTTTTACTGTATGTTTTACTATCCTCGAGGGATAACTTGTACATGGTATGACAAATAAAATTTTTGTAGGTAAGATAAAACATATACACTTAAGAATTTATGGGCTAATAATTACATGATCTTTCGACAATAAAATCATAGATAAACTTCCATGGACATATCGTCATGGACAATGTCTCTTCATAGTTAGTCCATGCTCAAATGTCCAATATACATATTATATTTTATATTAGTTAAGTTTTGTGTATCTCTATCATAATATTTGAAGTCCATAAGAAAATAATGCACATTGATGTATTCAGATACATGATGTAAGGGTGTGTACAACCGTGAGTGTACATGTGTACATCAATTTGTGGCGTACATACGTACACCAAAAATGATACCGTACATGTGTACAACTACAATAAATTAGGTAATGATTTCACGATCTTTCACCAATAAAAGCATAGATAAAATTCTATGGACATAGCGTCATGGACAATGTCTCTTTATATTTGGTCCATGCTCAAATTTCCAATATACATATAATATTATATTTTAGTTAAGTTTGCATAATATATCATAATATTTTAAGTCTGTACAAAAATTATGCAGATCAATGTAAACGTGGATACATGATATAAAAGAGTGTACAATCGTGAGTGTCATGTGTACATCAAAATTGTGGTGTACATGTGTACAAAGAAAATGATAGTGTATATGCGCACAAAACTAGAAAATTAGGGAGGCATAGATGTTATAGCTGTGGTGGTGTTGCGGCGAAGGAGAGGTTTGTCTCGGCGTTGCAACCATGAATCTCTATTTTTTCAAGCTTGTGACATAAGAGCTTGTTCTTGTTTTCTGTAATAATGGAAAAGTGAAAGAGACAAAAAAATACATGAGATAAGAGAAAGAGAATAAAATGTAATATTAAGAGAAATAAAAATTTATTGTTTAATTAAGGTTTAGTTAGATTTCAACTATTGAGGAAAAGTAAAAGTGTGTGAGTAGCATAAACTATTTTATAGTGATATTAAAAGAGGAAATAG